TCCTACCTCGTCATGCTGATGGACACCAGTTCCATTACAAACAGATCAGGTTACGAGGATGTGCAGGCATGCACAAAAAAACAAGTCACTGGTCAAAAACCAGCCTGAATGATGAGAGAATGACAACTTCAGGTTTAAAACTAAATTAACCTGATGATGACTTATACAACTGTAAGAATGTGTGAAGAACAAAAACACTCTTGAAATTACAGTGGTGCTTGAAAGTTTGTGAACACTTTATAATTTTCTATATTTCTGCATAAATGTGAACTAAAACATCAGATTTCCACACAAGTCCTAATATCAAGAGAACCCAGTTAAACAAATGAGACAAAAATATCATACTTGGTTATTTATTTATTGAGGAAAATTATACAATATTACATATTTGAGTGGAAAAGTATGTGAACCTTTGCTTTCAGTATCTGGTTTGACCCCCCTGTGCAGCAATAACTACGTTTCTGGTAACTGTTGATCAGTCCTGCACACCAGCTTGGAGGAATTTCAGTCCATTTTTCCGTCTTGCCCTTCGAACATCAAGCTGCTTGTTTTTGCCCGTCCACACAAGTGTCTCTGCAAGTGAGAATCGCTCTTTCTGCCCTGGATGACCTTACTGTGGGCTATAGCCCCTGAAAGTATCACTCAGGTACACAAACTCCTCCACAACAATACGGTGACAAATAAAGGAGGTGCATTTTTTAGTTTATTGCCAAAATGCAATATACTTTGGTAAGCAAGGGGATGAGAATCAGCACCTCCAAATCTGAGGCCATGGTCCTCAGTAGGTAAAAGGTGGGTAGCTCTCTTCGGGTCAAGGGTGAGGTTCTGCCTCAAGTGGAGGAGTTCAAGTATCTTGGAGTTTTGTTCATGAGTGAGGGAAAAATGGAGCGCGAGACTGACAGATGGATTGGTGCAGCGTCTGCAGTATTGTGGACTCTGTGCCGGTCTGTTATGGTGAAGAGGGAGCTGAGTTGTAGGGCAAAGCTCTCCGTTTCCTGGTCGATCTACGTTCCTATCTGGGTGGAGTTTGCATGTTCTCTCTGTGCATGTGTGGGTTTTTTCCAGGTACTCCGGTTTCCTCCCACAGACCAAAAACACGCACGTTATGTTGAATGGTAACTAAATTGTCCCTAGGTGTGAGTGTGAATTTTATTTATTTTTGTCTTGTTTGTCTTTATGCGTCCCCGTGACGGACTGGAGACCTGTCCAGGGTGTCCCCCCACCTCTCACACAATGCCTGCTGGACAAGGGCACCAAGAGCCAGAAATGAAGAAACAAGATGGATGGATTTTTCATCTAGGTGTCATACTCGCATGGTCACAGCACTCCCCAACTGAAACATGTTGCTACGGTTTGACTTTTAACAAACCTCAACTACCCTAAACTAAGAAATTATGTTTAAAATCACCTTTTTTAATAAATGGTATTAGTTTTGAGATTTTTTGGGACGTGGACAAACGCAGATCAAAGTGTCGTTAAGAAGCACGAATGACCGACACAAACAGATTTGGATTGATCACAAAATAAAACAAATAACTTTTTTTATTTTTAATCTGCAGGCTGAACTGTTTGACAAAGAACTGAACATTTTTAATTTCAAGACTGTATATCCAACAGCTGAAATGCGAAAATGTTAAAATGCTGATTTGTACCATTTTCTAAACCAACTGATCGAAGGAAGAAAAAGATCTGATAGTGTCTTTACAAACCTTTAACACTTGACATGTCCTCATAAAACAACAACGATCATAAAGCCTCATTTCTGTTTCACTGCTTCATGCAGATTTACTGTCTTTCCCTATGATACAGTAAATTAACAAGCATATTAAATTATATAGAGTGCACATTGATAAACGTGATTCCATACTCACATTTCTGATGAATGAACACATATTTATGCGTTTAGTGAATAAAAAAATAGATCTACAATATAATTTTAAAACGTCAATACAATATGCAAAAAATGACTGTTAAATTGAGGATAAAAAGGTAACTTTTGCAGAAAATAACAAAAAGTAGAATTTCTTTATTTTTTTTGTGGTCAGGACAGCAATCGAGTTGTTTTGCATAAAAAAATACATATATTTTTACTGGCATATTTTTATGATAACCAATACACTAATTTGAAACAAAATGACATAAAATACCCCAACAACATAGAAATAAGCATGTTCTTAAATGAACATTTTGTGCAATTTGCAAACACTTCACAGTCTGCATAACAGCATAAGCAACATTTGAATATGAGATCATGTAGAATTTGTAAATGCTAACAGTATCACTAAACAAAACTGGCATTTATCAAAGTGAACCAGTGCAAGAGTGCCGTAGGACTGCTTGATCACGGTTACCTCAGCTGTAAAACAAACACATAACACTAAACAATAAAAGGCATTTTTCAATTAGAGTATGGCTGCAAGGCTTTAAGAGCATCAACTGTCTGGACACTGTACTTACAGTTATATAGGCTATGGCACTGTCAGAGTCCACTGCTCCATACTGTGATGGGGTGAAATCCAAACTTCGCTAAAATAAAAAAAACAATGTGGGAAAACTTATTCTAGCAGTCTGTCATAATGAACATTTTCAAAAAGTAGTATTGTTTGGAAAAAGCTAAATTAAAACAAAAGGACACCCATTTGGCTTTTATAGTGAAGATCCTCACTGAAGACACCAACACATGAATAGTTGTTCTGTTTGACAACAGTGCAGACGACAAGTAAACCCACATTAGTGACGCCAACAAGAATGTGTTTTATTAAAAACGTACAGATATGATAATGCCCAAATGTGGCAGAGATCAGCTGAAAGTAGGGCTGGACAATAATTCAATATCACAATACAAAATTTTGAGCCAACGTGTACCTGAAACAACACCCCAAGCTGTATCAAAAGAGGGTTAGGTTATGTTGTTGTTTAAAGTCAAAACTATTAATTAGGAATGAAAGATATTGGATTTTTGGCCGATATCCGATATGCCGATATATTAAAACTTATTTGGCCGATAACCGATACCGATATTTTAAATACTTTCCTTTGTCAAAACATAGTCCTCTTATTTAGGCTTATTTGCTACAAAAATTGTGTAACAGCTGTAAGAGCTGGTGACATATATTCAGTAACAGCCATATGATATGTATAGCACTTTAACTTATATTAAATGAAAAGTGCTAAATGTTATTTATTAGCACTGGACACCTGCGATGGATGCTGTCTCACGTGTGGAGGCTGATTCCGGATTCCTAGCTGCAGTGTGGGATCCTCTGCACTCCTGTGCATGAAGGACAGCCTTTGTAAGTTCAAAGTTTTGTCTATTCATTGTGCCGTAAGACTAATCATGCTAATGGGGCTAACACTTGACGTCCAAGTGTCTGTGGTAAAACTCACCCAAGTGATATTAGCTTTTCAATGACGTCAGAAATGACAGCTTGCAACTTGGGTAAGGCTACGTCAGAAAAATATCTCCGACTAGGGACAATGTAGCGAGGCTCAAAGTAGTCCAAAAATCAATGGAATCCGACATCAATGAAAAAAAAAAAACCTTCCATATCGCCGACATTTTGACTTCTTCCTCTCCGCCGTGATCAGATCAGGTAGGCGCGCATGACGTCGTCGCGTTGTGCTGGCGCTGCAGGCGTCTTTGTCACTGGGTTTTCATACAAAAACAGCGTCTTTTATATCGGTGAGTTATTTTGATGGAATGGCCGATGTCCGACATTGAACTTTAACGATAACATCGACCGATACCGATACCATGCCGATAATATCGTGCATCCCTATTATTAATATGGACAAAGTTGAGAGTTTTATGTTTATTTGACGGTGATTTCAAATTTCTTTGAAGGCTAAGTACAAATAAATGGAGAACATTGTTTTATTTGTACAGTTTTACACTTTTTCTGAGGTTTTTATATTGTTTTATCGATATTGGAATTATATCGTTATCGACCAAAATTAAGAAATATATTGCGATAAAAGTTTTGGCCATATCGTCCAGCCCTAGAAAGTTGGATGTATTTAAAAATAAAAAAAAAAGATTAAAAGAAAGTGTTTTAGAACAAACCCATTCTTGCTGGTGCAATCAAGCACAAAGATTGGACAATCAGACGGAAATCATGCAGAGTTCTTCACAATCTCTGGATTTAGCGATCTGGACGTTCAAAAAATTGTCTCAAGGAACTGTTTTGAGAAGAAACATTTTCTCTTTTATTCAGTTAATAAATGTATCCGTATGATTTGTTCATTTTTATGATTCGTGTTCAAGCCTCTGGTGTTTCTCTGGGACAATAAGCAGCATCACTGTCACAGTTAATTACAGTGACCGGAGTTAATCTCTGTAAACAACAACAGGAGAGACTTGCTTTCCTGCAATTATGATTTAAAAAAAAATTAACATTAGCAAAATAAAATATATATAAAAAACAAAAAAAAAAAAAAACTGAAGCAACCTGAACCCAGATAAATAAAAACAGGCAGGTAACTATGACGAGCAGCACGGTGGATCAGTTGGTAGAGCTGTTGCCTCTCACTGAGAAGGCCACCGGTTCAAATCCCGGCCCAGGACCTTTCTGGGTGAAGTTTTTATGTTCTCTCCGTGCATGCGTGGGTTTTCTCCAAGTACTCCGATTTCCTCCCACAGACCAAAAACATGCACGTTAGGCTGACTGGCAACTCTAAATTGTCTCTAGGTGTGAGAGAGAGTGAATGGTTGTTTGTCTCATTTATGTGTCCCTGTGATGGACTGGAGACCTGTCCAGTGTCCCTCGCCTCTCACACAGTGATTGGTGGACATGGGCACCAGTGATCCCCACGACCCGAAAAGGAAGAAGCAGGTAAAAGATGATGGATGTATGGATGGAAGGTAACAATGACCGGCGTGACTGGCAACCCACCAGGTAGAGTGAGTGTTTCTGATCACGTTTTCTTCCAGCACGAGCAGATTTAAAACTGAAAAGAAAGAAAAGCCCAAAAAGGAGTGCAAAGAGAAAAATACGCCCAGTCTACTCTACATCAGAGGCACTGTTGTCAGAATGGAGGTAGTTGCTGCCTTTTACCCGAACGTAGTGAGCGTAGCGTTTGTCGTTGGGGGCGGAGCCTCCACAAAAGCAGAGTTGCCCGGTGAACAGGTTCTCGATGTCCTCCAGCTGTAAACCTTTGGTCTCTGGAAGGCAGCCGTAGACGAAGAGGAGCCCTAACACCACCAGGCCCGTGTACATGAAGAACGCACCTGGGACACAGAAACATACAGAAATGTCTGACGGTATCAAATCAACGTTATTTTAAAAACAACTGGTTTTGAACACCCCAGATTTCTGTCAGCTTGAGGTTGCGAGCTCAAGCCCAGGTTGCATCAGGAAGGGCATCCAACGTAAAACAATTGCCAAATATTTCACGAGTTCAGATGACCTGACTGAGAATTATTGGGTTTGGTACCTGGATGAGTGAGCATGAACTTTGTTCACACAAGTTCATTTGCTGTTGGGGACCCTTGAAGGGATAAGCTGAAATAAACTCACTCATTTAGGACATTTGTGTTTCATTCTTAGTATTCAAGCTGCACGGTTTGAAATCCGTTTAATTCCTGGAGATTAGTGTGACTGGGGCTTGATATTAGTGGTTCTGACATTTTTTGAAGTTTGATCCACAAAATACCAGTTGCTCAAGATCCCAAGTACGTCTGTTTAAAGAATTCACATTTTTCTAATAGAGGTAACAGCTGTAGCAAACATGTATTAGTAGCTGGGTTTTTTTTTTTTTTGTACCTTAATTCAATGCCTGAAAATCATCTTAAGACCCCAGAGTTGGTGCTTCACGACCCACAGTGTAGTCCAAATCCTAACTTTGAGAATCCCTGGCTGCTATTCAATGTGCTTAAAACAGTGGGCTCGTAAAGATTGGTGTTTGATGACGGGACAGAGTTCCACGGTTGTTTATATGCTTTTGAAGGTTGTATGCTTGACCTTTGAGTAATATTATAAGATAAGAACTTTACTGATCCCGCAGGAAATTGTTTGCCGCTTATCCATCATTAAACAACAACAATAATCCCGTCCTTCATTAAACAGAGGCGGAAGCCTCCGTGTCCAACTGTCACTCTCTTACAATGCTGTTATTGACAGTATCTGTTGAATAATTCAATTAACATTTCATCAACTCATTAAATAAATAAGCTACGCAAGGAAAACTAGAAGATCTTTACAACCCAGGTTTTATCTTGCAAGAGGAGCAGCAATTGGAAACAAGCATATAAATGTTATATGTTGCCTGGATCACAAGGTCTGCCTGCGGACAGCATAAAGGAGAATCAGCTTACAGTCTTATCAGAAAAGGTGAGGTCAAGACAACTCTGCTTTCCAGCTTAGGGGCCTTGAAGTTTATCAGGTGCACAGGCTCCGTGCTCCTGCAGGCTCCACTTTGTTCTAACAAAACAACTCTAACACACACAAGTGGTTCTATAATGTTTGACATTAGTAAATGAAAAGCTTCCATGACCTTTACATCCCCCATCAGTATCACTCAGCCCTCTGTGAATAGCAAGCGGCCATCAGGGCACTAACAATCGGTCGTGAGGCTGATGGTCCTCCTTTATCATGTGAACAGCTACCGTAGTTTTGGCTGTCCACAAACTGGTTGATCCACTATGGAAGGTGCTGTTTATAAGACTGAGTTCTATGTCATATAGGCTTCGCCCTTTAAGGCTGTCGCTGATGGGTTTATCCCGTTATGCGCAAGCATCATACTGAAAAAATTAGTCCACGCCCACCTGCTGTGTGGGCCCCACCCGATCCGTATAAATTACATTAAGAGCGGGTAATCTGCTCCCATTTTTCTTCAGCAAGCTAATATAATAAAACAACTGACCTTTTCATTGAGATGTCCAGCTCCAGCACCATCCGCTTGTGTCCCTCCTGCAAGACCGGTTACTTGCTTAGCTTCGACCGGCACGACACCTGCGAGGGATGCCTGGGTCCCCGCCACGTCGCCCGCGCTTCCTCCTGCCGCCTCTGTGACGAACTTCCACCGGAGGAAAGGCAGAGGAGAGCAGCCTTGTTTAAGGCTACCATCGAGGACTGCCTGTCCGTGGCGGGAGACTGCTCGCTGGACGACGCCATGGATTTCTTCGACGCCGGCTCGCGGAGTGAATCGGATGATTCCTCTGGGACCGGTGACGTTAGCAGCAGCCCCGACGCTCGTTCCCTCCCGGGGAGCGCAGTGTTGGAAAGAGGGAGGCCGAGCGGATGCTCGACTCCCCCGGGGTTTCCCGCTTCAACGACCACACCGCTCCCTGCCGTCGGCGCGCTCCTCTCGGAGCTGCCCGCCATTATCCGGGAAGCTGCTAACGTAAAGGGGCTCTCCGTCCCCTCAACCCCCCCCCCCCCGCTCAGATCGGATGATCTTGCGGGAAGGTTTGGCTCCACGCCGGCTCGCCGTCCTGATCCCATTTGGCCTCATTTTCCAGCGGTGACATCGTACTGGAACGAGGCCGCAGCCGGTCCTGGTAGGTTAAGGGCGCCCGTCTCCACTTACGCCCCCATCACCAGAGTGGAGGGGTTCACCGAGCGGGGCTATCCCTCGGTACCCCCCCTTGAGCCAAGCCTCGTGGAAGCCTTCGGAGCGAAGCTGTCCAGGCTGGAGAAGCGTCCCGTCCCTCCAGGGAAACACGACCAGGCGGTGACCGCGCTCTCCAACAGAGCCCACCAGTGTGCTTTTCAGGCGGCCGCTGCTAACAACAACGTGGCGCTGTTAGCATTTAGCATGTCGAAAAGGCTGGAGGCCTCAGACCTGCCGGAGGAGACAAAGAGCTCCCTGTGTAAATCGGCAGACGCCATCCTCAACATGTGCGCCGCTTCCACGGTTTGCCTGTCGAGGATTGCAGCGTGGATGACGGTAATCCAACGTTCCACCTGGCTTCGTCACTCTCCCTTGCTGCCGGAAAAGCTGCACAAGGACCTGATGGAGGGCCCCATCTCATCGGACTCGCTGTTCGGAAGCAGCTTGAAGACCATGCTGGCGAACTCGAAGCAGTCGGAGGAGATGTCGGAAGCTGTGCGCCATCTCATCAAGCCGCGCGGCTCATCCCGTCCCCCAGCCCGCTGGAGAGACCGTCGAGAGCAGAGGCAGAAACATCGGCGCTCCACGGCAGCAGCAGCTTCGTCTCGCCCAGCTCCACCACCAGCCCCGCCCGTCAGAGACCACCCCTCCTCATTCCGGCAACCTGCACTCCAGCGTTTCCCCAGAGATCGCCTGCAGACGGCGCTTGGGGCAAACAAACCGCAGAGCTCACGGGGGAGAAGATTTAAGAAATGACGGTCTGCGGAGGATGTGTGTATAAATGACACAGGAATTGAAATAAATGATTTTTCAAAGATCAAAGTGCCTGTTTTTAGCCAGTCTGTAAGTTCGGATGAGCTCACAGCCGCTACACACACATCCTCCACACATAGAGAGCCGGTGTCCTTATATAAAGGTTTTTTAAATCCACCGTCGCTCCATCATATGTCCAGACGCTCGCGCGACACCACGGTAAGCGAATTAACTTGTTGTCAATCAGACCCGCACGATCACCACCCAAGCGGTGTTAAACGCGCACCCGAGCGAGGCAAACAGCCCCCATCCAAACGGCGCTGTGTTGATGATGCATGCACAGCTGCCCGGCGCTCACCGGCTCACATCGGTATAAATGTGGGACCGCAGGCCGGGTCCGGTGGAGGTCCCCGCTCTCAGCGAAAACAACACACGCCTCTCCTGAGCAAACGCGAGCGGCCGTCATCCACCGTGTCTCAGCGATCGGCAGCTCACGGCGGCATAAGCGTGAGACAGCTGAACGAATCCAGTGACGAGCCCCGCCCTCAGCGAGAGTGGCGCGCGTCCCTCCAGAGAAAACGTGCGCTCCCGCGAGGCTCACAACCTTCACTTCGACAGCACGGCGTTGATGAAGTCACGTCCTCCGCCTCTCAACGTTCACACAGCGACGTTAAACGTGCAGCCTCACGACGTCATCAGCTGGCACACGCTTCGCCTCAGCACACACCGCCCCGCCCGGACATGAAGGTTGGTCCGCGATCCGGACACAGCGCACGGGCGCACGCAGAACAGCCCTTTCGAGGAAGCCTCGCCTTGGGTCACGCGGAAAACATTTCCGCGACGCATGACGGCGGTCGAGGCGGAGGATTGGATGACATCCGTTCAAAACACGGCACATCATTTAAACGCACGTCCACTCCACGAACGTTACGCAGAGTGGCAAAAAACCTGTTCGCCGGACAGATGGATGGACAGAGTGTTATGCAAGGGTTACACACTGCAATTTGCAACCCGACCCCCTCCGTTCGAAGGAGTTATAGAGACGGTCCTGTCATCACCAGACCAAATCTCAGCCTTAAATGCAGAAGTTCAGGAGCTTCTGATAAAAGGTGTAATCTCAAGAGTTCCCAACGAAGAGGAAAACACAGGGTTTTACTCACGCTACTTCCTGGTCCCCAAAAGGACCGGAGGGATGAGACCGATTCTGGATCTGTCAGCTTTCAACAAAGCGATCATGGACAGACCGTTTCACATGTTGACAAACAGACAGTTGTTGGACAACATCCAGAGAAACGACTGGTTTGTTTCCATCGATCTAAAAGATGCTTATTTTCACATACCGATCATCCCAAAACACAGGAAATTTCTGCGTTTCGCCTTTCAGGGGATGAAGTACCAGTACAACAGGCTGCCTTTTGGGTATTCCCTCGCACCTCGTACGTTCTCAAAGTGTGTGGAGACAGCCCTGCATCCGCTGCACAGAAAAAAAAAAAGTCAACTCCGCCACGTAAGACCTGGCAAAGTGATAACAGCCGTCTCCGTCATGAAGCTGTTGGGAATGATGTCATCAGCTCACACAGTGGTTCCGCTGGGTTTGTTACACATGAGATGCCTCCAGAGGTGGTTTGCGCGTCTGCGTGTGGATCCAGTAAAACACAAAAGACGGATGATCACTGTCCCTCCCTCTGTGAGAGCAGACCTCCGACACTGGGGAAACACCCTGGTTCTGTCAGAGGGAGTCCCCGTCAGCAGACCCACGTCACACGTGTCAGTCTTCACGGACGCGTCGCTGTCAGGCTGGGGGGGGACATGCCTATCCCAAGCAGTAGGGGCGCTGTGGCCCCACCACACATCAGCCCACATCAATGTTTTGGAGTGTCGCACAGTGCTGAATGTGATTCAACACTTTGCTCCCGTGCTACAGAATCAACACGTGTTGATTCACACAGACAATATGGTGACGGCTGCGTACATAAACCGCCAGGGGGGTGTGCGTTCAGCCCAGATGTTACACATTGCGCGAAAGCTACTGTGTTGGGCTCACCGAAATCTGCTTTCCATCAGAGCGGTTTGCATACCCGGTGTTCTGAACAGAGGAGCAGATGTGATGTCCAGGGGCGGCCCACGTCACGCGGACTGGACACTCCATCCAGACCTGATGTTTCAGACGTGGCAGAAGTTTGGCAAAGCAGCTGTGGACCTGTTTGCGACGCGAGAGAACGCTCAGTGCCAATTATGGTTTTCCCTGAGCCCGCGAGACGATCCACCGCTGGGGGTGGATGCATTTGCTCACAGCCCGTGGCCCAAAATGCTCCTGTACGCGTTCCCCCCACCTCCTCTGATTTTACGGTTCCTGATCCGAGTTCAGGAGGAGGGATTGACAGCTCTCCTGGTAGCTCCAGAGCGCGTGAACGCACCATGGTTTCCAGTCCTGCAACGTCTGTTATCGGGTCGTCCGTGGAAACTACCGTGGAGGGAGGATGCTCTCCTTCAAGCAGGAGGAGCGATCAGGAGTTACCCAGAAATAGGCCAGCACCTGTGGGTCTGGCCGCTGAGCGGTCCCGCTTAGAGAGGATGGGTCTCCCTCAGGATGTAGTGCGCACGATTCAAGATTCACGCGCTGCATCTACCACAGCTCTGTACACATCAAAGTGGACGGCCTTTCAGCGCTGGTGTACAGAGAAAGGTTTAGAGGCCACCTCATGTCCATTAGGCGGCGTGTTGTCCTTTCTTCAACAGCTGATGGATAGGAAGTTGGCATTCAGCACGATTAAAACGTACGCTGCAGCCATCTCTTCCTGCCACGAAGGGTTCGGAGACAGAACAGCTTTTAATCACCCGCTAATGAAGCGGTTTCTAAAAGGTGTACAAAGACATAGGCCGGTTTCACGCCCACTCGTTCCACAGTGGGATTTAACGCTGGTCCTGCGAGCCCTGATCAAAGCCCCATTTGAGCCTCTGGATCAGGTTTCACTTAAATTCTTGTCTCTTAAAACAGCCCTGCTGCTGGCTTTAACATCCGCTAAGAGAGTGAGTGATTTATCTGCCCTCTCTGCCGCTCCGTCATGTCTCAGAATCCAGGCTGACGGTAGTTCAGCTGATTTAAGACCAAACCCAGCTTTTATGCCTAAAAACATCACGAGCTCTTTTAAATCAAGACAGATATCGTTGGAGGGTTTTTTCCCTCCCCCCCACAGATCAGAAGAAGAAGCATCTTTTCATCTTCTCTGTCCGGTGCGGGCGTTGACGTGTTACATAGCGCGCACAGTTGCAATGCGTCAAACTCAACAATTGTTTGTGCATTATAGAGATGCATCTGCAGGTCGCCCGTTATCCACCCAGCGCTTGTCTCACTGGCTGTGTGAGGCCATTTCTGAAGCCTACAGAGCATCAGATCTAGAGCCTCCTGTCAACCTCAAAGCACACTCGACCAGGGGTATCGCATCTTCGACTGCCTTGCATAATGGTATGTCAATGCAGGACATTTGCACTGCGGCTGCATGGTCAACACCCTGCTCATTTATTCGCTTTTACCTACGTGATGTAACGGCTCGTTCCATGACACATTCTGTCCTTAGTGCTCTAACAGAATGAATATTGTTGTTTTTCATGGAACTCTGTTTAAGCTCACTTCTGTCTGCATGCATTACAGTGTGAGATGTTGTTATCAGTCACAAGTTGTGTCTGTGATTTTGGTTCTATTGTCACTAATCAGTTCATGACTATTGTTACCAATCAGTTCATTTGATCAATAATCAGTTCATTGATATTAATCTGTTTATACTGTTCAGCCATGAACCAGTTGGTTCATGCCCCCCCCCCCCCCTCTTTTCAACATCTTCTCCCCGTTAAAAGTTTTCCGGGGCGTTCATGCTTTGTCAGAACGCATAGTTACACAACATGCGTCTGTGCATGGCACATAATTACGCGATGCGTAGTTATGCACACGGGGAGCTGAGTGACAAGACGTTTTTTGGGCAAGCTTCCGCTTCTTACTGTGTTCGAACGGACCCAGTGAGGCGAGGACCACATCCGCTTCGCCCTTAACCCATCAGCGACAGCCTTAAAGGGCGAAGCCTATATGACATAGAACGTTGGTTACGTACTGTAACCCCAGATTCTATGAATATAGGCGTAGCCCTTTAAGCGTCGGGCCTCACTGGTTCCTGAATAGCTGAAGAAAAAATAAGCTATTTGGGAGCAGATTACCCGCTCTTAATGTAATTTATACGGATCGGGTGGGGCCCACACAGCAGGTGGGCGTGGACTAATTTTTTCAGTATGATGCTTGCGCATAACGGGATAAACCCATCAGCGACAGCCTTAAAGGGCTACGCCTATATTCATAGAATCTGGGGTTACAGTACGTAACCAACGTTTGCTGCAGCTCCTCAGACTGAAGAAGTCTTATGTATTAAAGACAAAACGCTTCAACCAGAAGTATCTGTCCAGAGGACCTGACTTTACTTTTTTAGATCTTTGAGTAATGTTTGTTGGTTGACCACTTCTGGGAGGAAAAACAATGTTTTGTGGTTTTGAAGCTTATTCGATCTTTCAGTGAATCAGTGGAATAAGATAAAATAATCCAGTGGATTTGAAATTTCTTCCAGCCTGATGAGCATCGATATCTTCTCGTTTTTTTATTTTCTTCAAAAATTTTTTTTTTTTCACGCGTTATAAAAACCAGACATTGATGCATCACTTTTTTTTCTTCCTTTCGGCTGCTCCCTTCTTCAGGGGTCGCCACAGCAAACTAGTTGCATGAAGACGTGCCAATTTTATTTTTTACGCCGGATGTCCTTCCTGTCACAACCACAGACCACCGCGCTACCACAGCCCTCTGTGTGGAGCAGAGAGCTGCCATCTAGGGCGCCTGGGGGAGCAGATGGTGGGGGTTAAGGGCCTTGCTTAGGCGTCCAGAGAGGGGCGCATGAGGGTGGAGGCAGGTGTGGGTGCTTCACCTTTCCCATCCACATTTTGATGTTGTCGGTACGGGGAGTTGAACCAGCGACCTTCCGATTACAGACCTACCTTCTCTTACCTGTGCGCCACCGCTCCCCCTTAACTGATTTTCCACATCACTGATCAAAAATACTTAACTCAAACTAACGGATATTCTATGACATTCACGTTTTTGTCATGCACAGCTAAAACAATGTTTAATATATTTTTACACGGTTGTGTTTCAAACACAAACTAAGGAGTTATGGGTTAAAACGTGTCACTTTAAACATGACTGTACGTTTTATGCTTCACATTTGGTTTGATTTGAAGCCGACCCGCTGAGAGAGTCTTACCATAATATGTCAAATACTCTGCGACGTGAAGGAAAGTCAAAGACACAAGAACGTTGAAGATCCAGTTGACACCAGCTGAGCAGGCGTTGCCAGTGCTGCGTGCCCAGAGTGGGTAGATCTCCGAGTTCACTGTCCACGGCATGGGGCCCATACCTGTAATATGTTGCATGTATATGTTAACTAATTATCATTCATCATCGAGACAGGACACTTTGGTTGGTAAAGTCTTAGTAAGTGCATTGACGACAAAACTCCTTTTGAATGCTGCATTAAAGAAAGTAATTAAAGACCTGGAGCAAAGGATGCAAGGTAAAGGATGAGGCCCACCAGGACTATCCAGGAGTAGGACGTAGGACAGTAATTGTAAGCCCAAATTAGGCCATCACTTTCTTCTGTACGATTAGAACACCTGGATGGAAAAATTGAAGCACAGTAAAGACACACTTGTTCTAATTCACCTCAGTTAAAGTTGTAAACAAGACAAATGCTCTAAAAGCACTTCATGTGGGAAAAGAGAAAACATAGGAGCACGTGAATTACATATCAAGAAAATTAACGCTTCTATCTTTTTAAATGTGACAAACATTGGGGGATACATTTTGACCTTCCCCAGGCTGCATGATCTGTGGACGCCTGACTGACAGGAACGCAGGAAGACTCGAACACGGCGGTTCCGTTGTCACGGTAACAAAACCCACAATCTGGATCCAACATGCAGAAGTCACAAGAGCTGCAAGACGAAGAAAGAAGGAAAATAACCAAATGGGAATGTCACTCGTTCTGAGCAATTAACTCATCAATGGGATATTTTGGTGGTTTTGAAGTAAGGTGCAGTTGAAATGTTTTAAATAAAAACATCTTACCTGTTTTAGGTAGTTCTTTAAATAATATCGGTTTATTAAATTTGAGTTTAGTTTCTTTTGAATCAGTGGGTCACGTGGCATGCAAGATTTTAATTTTTGTTTCTCAAGAACGTTTGGTTGGGTCATTTATTGACAGTCCCTAGGTGAACCACTGCGGCTCGGAGGAGGGAAAAACAAAAACATCTTACCTGTTTAGATAGTTCTTTAAATAATCTTGGTTTATTAAATTTGAGTTTAGATCTAACTGCCTGTGAAACCAGCAAGTGTTTGCTCCATCCACCCTCTGTTAAAATGTCTGGTCGACATTAAGGCCTGGATGGCTTCAAATTTCTTAAGTTTTAACGATGAGAAGACTGAAGTCGTCTTTGGCCCTAGCTCAACTGCCGCCACTGATCCTGTCAACCTGGACTCTCTTCAGCCATATCTGAAGCAGTCTGGTAAAAATCTCAGGATGATTTTAGACTCTGACTTCAAGTTTGACAAACAAATCAACTCTGTTCTGCAGAAAAGCTTCTTCCAACTCAGACAGGTAGCTAAGCTCAAGCCAGTGTTGTCCAGACCCGACCTTGAGAAACTAGTCCATGCCTCTGTCACGACCCGATTGGACCATTGCAGTGCACTCTATGCTGGGATCAGCCAGGCCTCCATCTCACGTCTTCAGCTCGTCCAGAATGCTGCTGCTCAGCTTTTAACCGGAACTCGTAGGTCTGAACATATTACACCAGTTCTGTCCTCCCTTCACTGGCTCCCTGTTCGTACGAGGATAGTCTTTAAAATTCTTCTGTTGACCTTCAAATGCCTAAATGGCCTTGCACACCTTTACCTCTCTGAGCTTCTGGAACCTTACGTTCCCTCTCGGGCCCTGAGATCATCCGATCAGCTGCTTTTGGCTGTTCCAAAAACAAGACTGAAGCTCAGAGGAGATCGGGCTTTTTCAGTCATGGGCCCCAAACTCTGGAACAACCTGCCCCCCAACATCAGGCGGGCCACCTCCCTTCCTCACTTCAAATCCCTGCTGAAAACACATCTGTTCTCTCAGGCATTTCAAACAGTGTAAATTGATTAAGTGTTTTTTTGTTCAGCGATCCCATGTTTTAAATGCTTTTTATTAATTCTTCAGTTATTATGATTAGTGTATTATATTTTTTTCCTCATTAATTTTACTCCCATTGATGTTGTTGTTAAGCACTTTGAAAACAGGTTCTGTTTTAAATGTGCTCTATAAATAAAGTTGACTTGACTTGACTATCCATTTTTTCCTAAATCAATTTTAGAAGAGAATTAGAGTAAAATAAGTCCAAGTCTGTGCAAGTCCAAGTCCAAGTCAAGTAATAACTAATCAACAAGGCACTACATCATAAACCTCAGACAACCAGACACGTTGCCTACAACTGGTAAAACAAATGGAAATGGCCTGCTCAATGAGTTTCAGGTTTTTACCTATAAAGTCTGCAGGTTGAATTGTGAGGGTCCACTGGGTGGAGGGTAATAGGCGGTGAGTTCTGGGCAGACACCAGGAACCCGACTGCCAACAAAGTCAAACTCAGACCAGTACCTGCATTAGAGAAGAAACAATTAATAAAGTTACAAAGGAAGAATTAAATGTTATCCAAGCCCAACCATTAGCCAAACCTAAAAGACTGCCCAGAGTCAGTTTCCTGCGGCCCACTCTTTCCACAAGCCAAACTCCAACCAAGGTGAACACGAAGTTGGTGGCTGAAGTTGCTGCAGCCAACCAGATCGCTTGTTTGTCATCCCGCACCCCTGCCATCTGGAGGATGGTTGCACTGTAGTACCTGCAAACAGAAAAACAGCCATCAAAAGCAGTTCCAGTCAGAACAGACGCTGCTTTTATCGTTTGGGGTTTCATAATGTGTTTCTGGGGTTAGCACATGAAAGATAGAATGATAGTGAACTTACATAACCGTGTTGATGCCAGACAGCTGCTGAAACATCTGGAGGCCACAACCAATAACAAGAGCCCGTCGAGTTGGACCGTGGCGGAGGATGCGTAAAAGAACAACTCCTCCTGAAATTTAAATTCAATTCAATCTTTATTTATACAGATAAATCACATTGAGCCTCAAAGACTCTTTTACAAGTGAGACCTGTTTAGACAGACAAAAAAGTTGTGAAAGTAACAACATGCAGGATTTGGAGGCAAAATAATTCCTAACAGGCTCTCTCTCAATGGCCAAAGAGAGATAGCATGAAAAAAAAAAACGTCATTCTGCTGGGGAGGGGGAAGATGACAAGGGTGGTGAGCATGTCCAAGGACACTCCCAGCGGCACTGTAGGAGTTCTGATAAGAATGGAATAATCAGTCCGTTCCCTCTGGTAAGAGCTGTAAACATTTTCGGGGGGTGCCGAGGTTGGCCAAGGACAGCGCCAATGAGAATCCAAGAGTCCTGAAACGATGACACAATGTTTATTCAGCCGATTTACCCGATAGGTCTGTAGACATCCTCGATGGGAGGTGAAGGGGCAGGCCGTCAGATTTACAAAGCCATCAGGCGAATTGAGATAAAGTGGCCTGCCAAGGCCAGCTGAGGGAGCCGAATTCAGATAAACAACATTTGTTTTGGAGGCAGGCAGAACTTTACTGATTTTTATCTGCCTTGAGTCTTTGCTGGTCTCATGTAGGTTCTAAAACATCCAAATTAAGTGGACACACCGCTGGTCCGTGCCTGAGAATATTACCCGAGATCTGATCCATCCGGCCAGCAAGTCCTATAGGGCCGCAAATGGCCTGCGATTCTCACAAATCACATCCAATTTACGGTTCAGTTCGCCAAGCAATTGAGTCTGGGTGCTCGAGACACGAAGCAAAGCATCACATAAGGCCAACAGCCTGACCAGGACCAAATTAGCTGCGGCCGTCTTCTTTGTATGTCGATAAACCAGGAACCAGCCGATTCCAAAAAGAAGGAAACCTGTTATCATAAATAAAATTATATATGCATCTTGGGCATCCCCAGGAATCAAAGACATATCCAGCTGCATGCGTGTCATCAGGACAGTTCGGCTCGCCTGAAGCTCATCTCATCGTGGAGAAAATTTGATCAATTGCATTGCGAGACCAACTGACCAGATCTATAGCAAAAATTATGGTTTGGAAGATATGTAGAGAGAGGCTCAGAAACAGTTTCACAGACAGGACAGAGCAGCAAAGCGGAGGAGGGAGAGGAGGGGAAAGACATCCGCCCTCGACAAGAGCAAGTGGTGAAGTGATAAACGTTTTTCAACAGAGAGTTGAATTTCCACCATGGCCTAAATGAAATTAGCATTCCAACATTAATTTTTGATTTTGCCAAGTTAACCAACCTGTCCCCGAGTCTCGCTCCTCCTCCTCGATGCTGGCTTTGATGACATCATACTCCTCATCGATGTTTTGGTCCCCTCGGATCTGGCTGAGAACATGACATGCCTCTTCGCTCCGGCCCTTCTGCAAGAGCCAGCGTGGGCTTTCTGGCAGGAAGATGAAGCCAAAGAACTGCAGCACTGCAGGTACGATGGACAAGCCTAACATGTACCTACAGTGGAGAGGAGGGGTGAAACAGAGGTATGCTAGAAAAGACAACAGCTGCTGCATTTCAGATTTGACTCAAAGGTCTCTCTGGTGACTTTGAATGGCACTACTGGAAGAAAAAGGACCACAAACAGGGCCAAGTTCACACCTCAGCAAAGGATTTATTGATAAAGTGTTAAAGAGGAGAAAAAGATGGGACAAAGCCTACCTCCATCCATTGTGGCTCAAGTAACTGAAGACCCCGTCAACTATGCTGGCAACAAACTGGCCACCAGTGATGAAGAGGGCATTGATCGTGACTAACTGGCCTCTCAGGTGAGGGGGAGAAACTTCTGCGATGTATACAGGGACTGTCATGGAAGCAATGCCTGTTAGGGGTGGAAAAGTAATTTCATGTTAACATACAAATGTTCTAAAAATATTTTTGGTACTTTATAGGAGGCAACAATTCAAATTACTTACCGATACCCAAACCCACTATGATTCTGCCAGCAAGAAGGACCATTTTGTCCTGGGCAATACTCAGTACAACTCCACCGACACTGAAGATGAAGCTGGCCACAAGAATACAAATCCTGCGTCCCAGCCAGCCATTCAAGGAGCCCCCACCGAGGGCAGAGAGTGCTGCCGCCCCAACAGTGCTGGAAACCAGCAGCTCCTGCCACAGAGCATTGAGGTTCATCTCCTTTTTCAGGAGCAGCATGGCCCCAGAAACCACTCCAGTGTCATACCCAAAGAGGAAACCTCCCAGGGCAGAGAAAAATGCCAACACGTAGACGAAATATGGCGTGTAGACATCTTGGCCTGGGGGGTCCTGAGTGTCTCCAGTAGTTCCAAAGAGACTCTGCTCTCCACCCTCAGCAGCTGTCTGCCTCCTGCTGTCCACACGGTCACTCATTTGCTTCAGGCTGTATTCATCAAGGCTGCTGTACAAATAGGAGAGAAAGCAGCACTTACACTCAGAGTTGCTCTTCTTGGGGTAGATGTTTGGGGGTGGAGTACGACAATTTTATGGTAAGTAAATAAGCAAAGGAGAAGATGCGGCCTAACCTCACATTGCTGTTATAACATCAGTCCAACAGCTGAACACCGCCCAGGTTCAGATCAGAGAGACCGGTCCTCCCAGTCACACCCCCTCAGGTCACAATGTCATTACCCACGTGGCCCAAAAAAAGTCACCACCTGGATTTTACTAAGCAAATAGGGACGAGCATCCTATTGGATAATTACTGCATGGCTGATTATCAGCTGGCAACAAGTTATTTAACTCCAACTGGTGCAATGAGTTGCTTCTCATTTCTTAAACAACCATGTCAAAAGACACATCGTGTGGTCGTGGAAAAGACTGTTTGATATACGTCAAATCATTGGCATCAAGCAGAGAAAACATCTAAGGAGATTGCAGAAACTACTAAAATTGGGTTAAGAATAGGGGTGCACCGATAAATCGGCCGGCCGATCGATCGGCCCCGATTTCCTTAATTTGGGGAGATCGGCGATCGGCCGATCTTTAAATGAGAAGCCGATTTTATCCACCGATCTTATCTGCCTCCGGAAAGGTCTGAAAATCAGCTGCTGTCCCCTTTTGCTCCACTGTGAGAGCTCACACACAGGTCACTCGGAGCAGCCATGTCGTCGGTTTGGAAGTTCTACGCTGTAAAAGAAAATGAGCCAAAGATCGCAATTTGCAATTCGTGTAAAGCCGAAGTAAGTCGTGGTGGAGCCACCACCAAAACCTTTAATACAACAAACCTCGTTCGCCATTTAAGAAATCACCACGCCGCCAAGTATGCAATGTTTGAAGAGAGCAACCAAGCTAAGGCTAATGCTAAAGCTAGCGCTAACAAAGAGGCAGTCGGTGGGTCGCTGTTAGCTTTTATGAGCAACGAAAAGAGCAAAGCTACCACGAGGAAAGTGATGGAGTTCATGGCATTAGACAACCAGCCATTTTCAGTCGTTGAGGACAAAGGTTTTAGAAGCTTGATGCAGCACGTGTGCCCACGATATAATATGCCGAGTCGGAAATATTTTTCTGATGTTGCATTACCGGAGTTGTTCAGCCAAGTTTCGAGAGACACCCGCAGCCTGCTAAAAGCTAATACAAATACACTCAGCTTTACAACAGACATCTGGACTTCTGATGTAAGTTTAATGTCCATGTTAAGTTTTACTGCACAGTGGATTGACGAACAGTTCGAACGTCATCAAGTACTCTTAAACTGTAAAGAAATGGCAGGGTCTCACACTGCGGCCAATTTATCAGCAGAGTTTAAGGCGATGCTGAATCACTGGGAAATCGATCATGGAAGAGTTCACGTTGTTTTACGGGATAATGCTCGTAATATGGCCAAAGCGCTGGATGATATCAACCTGAAAAGTTTACCCTGCCTGGCACACACACTGCAACTGGTTGTAAATGAGGGACAGCTGGCGCAGCGCAGCATCACAGACATGGTGGCAACAGGAAGGAGAATTGTTGGACATTTTAAGCATTCATCACTTGCCTATTCCCGACTTTATGACATACAGACACAGTTAGGTCAACCCAGGAAACGATTACAGCAAGACGTTTCAACGAGGTGGAACAGCACAGTCTACATGCTGCGGTCACTGTTGGAGCAGAGACGTGCTATTGGCGTGTATGCTGCTGAGCATGAGTTACCAGCCACACTCACAGCACACCAGTGGGAGCTACTGGACAATGTGCTCACCATTCTTGCACCTTTTGAGGAACTCACAAAGGAGATTAGCTCATCAACAGCTACAGCAGCAGATGTCATCCCAGCCATCACTGCACTCAAGCGGATTTTGGAGAGGCAAGCGAGCACAGACCGTGGCGTGGGTACAGCCAAAGCTACGTTGCTGGAGGCTGTTGTGAGAAGATTCAGCAACATTGAGCATGAGCCCCTGTACAGCTTGGCCACTGTTCTGGATCCAAGGCAAGTAACTATTAACATTCTATTTTAGCCATAATGACTTTTAGCCTACTACTATATTTCAACAAACATTTAAATTAAATTAAAAATAAAAATTTATTGATTGAAATGCATTTCTTTATTTACATGCAAGTCATAAAAACTGTTAATGTATACAAAACACAATGATTGACCCATCTTTCTTTGTTTATGCAAAACAAGGTACAAGAATCGCTACTTCTCAGCAGAGGTGAAAGATGACGTGAAACTGCTCCTTTTGACCAAACTTGCAGAGGGGGAGACCAGATGCACACCTGCTGCAGGAACATCCTCTGAAGTGGGACCTCCTGATATAGATGAACCTGCAGCCAAAAGGCGTAGTCTACTGTTTGCAGCTCACGACGAAATCTTAAAGGAGAACATTGAACAGGAGCAACAGCTGGCCAGCCCTTCAGCTATGCAGGTACAGAACTACCTATCTGAGGTTCCTGTCGAAAGGAGCCAGGACCCATTGGTCTACTGGAAGATCAATGAAAATCGTTTCCCTCATCTTGCTCTACTTGCCCGAACCTATCTCTCTGCCCCATGCACAAGCGTTGAAAGCGAGCGCCTGTTTAGCTTGGCTGGACATGTAGTAGATGAGAAAAGAAGTCGCCTGTCTGGTGACAAAGCAGAAATGCTTTTGTTCATCAAGAAAAACCTGCCACTAATGAAAGTGACTGGAATAAGTCTGTGAGAACTAACTTACCAGTGTTAGTTCTTATTACCCACTGACTTGAAAATGTTACACTTGTTGCATTCTTTTTTTTTTTTTAAATGTAACAAGTGAAAGAGTTGAAGGAACTGAACATTTTTTTTAGTTAATTTTATAGTTTTAACAAAAATTGTGTAAACTTCATTTATATTTCAGAATACTACCTCATGACAAGTTAAAACAACAAGTTTGTATTGTTTCTAGGGTATTTTTCAAGGGTATGTTTTACAATAAAATAAGATTGGTAAATTGAAGGTGCATTGTGATCTTGTAACACCTGACACTGTTGCTTATAAAAAAAAATCGGTATCGGCCAAAATCGGAATCGGCAGTTCAGACTTTCAAAAAAATCGGTGATCGGTGATCGGCCTGAAAATTGAAATCGGTGCACCCCTAGTTAAGAACTGTCCAACGCATTATTAAAAACTGGAAGGATAGTGGAGACACAGTCTTCGAGGAAGAAATGTGGCTTGAAAAAAAATCCTGAATGAACGTGATCGGCGAACACTTAAACGTTTGTTGAAGTCGAGTCGAAGAAAAACAACAGTAGCACTCAGGGCTATGTTTAATAGTGAAAGTAAGAACTTTTCCACACGCACGATGCGAAGGGAACTCAAGGGATTGGGACTGAACAGCTGTGTAGCCTTATGAAAACCACTAATCATTGAGGCTAACCTGAAAAAAAAGGCTTCAATTTGCTAGGGAGCATAAAGATTGGACTGCGGAGCAATGGAAGAAGGTCATGTGATCTAATGAGTCCAGATTGACCCTGTTCCAGGGTGATGGGCGCATCAGGGTAAGAAGAGAGGCAGGTGAAGTGATGCACCCATCGTGCCTAGTGCTCAATGCAAGATCTTGGTGAAAAATGAATGCAACACTGGATGGAAATAGATCTTGTGACGTTGCAGAAGCTTATCGAAACAATGACACAGAGAATGCATGATGTAATCAAAGCTAAAGGAAGTCCAACCAAATAGTAGTGTGTGACCATTTTTTATTTTTTGCCCAGGCAGTGTATGTTCATTTTGCAGACTGAGAATTTAGCACCAAGAACGTAAATGACGTCATCAACGGGTGGGTAAACAGTACGTAGAGACGAACGTAGCACTGTCCAAGATGGCTGCCAGCCTATCGCCGTCAGTGGCCATTCACAGCATTTCTGCAGACGCCAAAGGTTGTTTAACTTGATCGGGGAGACCCTCTGATAGTTCTGAGCGACAGCCCATTGACAGAGTCCATAAAATCTGTTATTTTGTTTAAATACTGTTAAAACAAGTGAAAGAGGAACCCAAACATGTTCTGTCCGCTGATAAACCCGCATACGTGTGGTGGAACAACAAACGTTTAAAGTAGTTTTCAAAACACATCTCTAACGTGACTGTCACTCGCGTTTAAATGTGTTTCATTCATTAATTTGAATTATATTTCATCCACTAACAACTTCACAAAGCTAGCTCCAATCAGTTTCTTTGTTGACTCAAGAAAAAGTAAACTACCGGTAACTTTGATCTGTACAAAACCATAACGTTCTGATAAATAAAATCCACCTACCTTTGAGAAACGTTCTCCAAACGCTGTGCAGCAGAACATGTCTTTTACTGAAACAGGAAACCTCTGTGAGGATCATATGATGTATTGACTCGAGGGGAAATAGAGCACACCAGTCCGACCAGAAGACCCAGTGAGCATGAAGTGAAGTTGCTGCTTCTCTTATGCAGACCAACACAAGCATGTATGGAAGCCCGTTTCTGCCAATAAAAAGAAATTGAAACGTCCAATGGTATGTCTTCACTTTGACTTTGAAAGTCGAAATTATGGCATACAATTGGATGTCTTATTTTTTTTTATTAGTGGAAATGGGCTTACATACACTTACGTATGTTGATAAAAACAAAAAAACAACAACAAAGTGTCCATTACAAGGGTATCACTTTTGACTGATTAAAACATTAACTTTTTTTTTGTTCTGAGCTGAGAGGATATTTATGGAGGAATAAGAGTGCCAAGAGGAAAGAAAGAAAAAAGGTTTAACAAAAAGAGAATTCTACACAGTTATAAATAAACAAAACACATCCATCCATACATCCATTTTCTTTTACCCGTTTATTCCATTTTGGGTCACGGGGGTCGCTGGTGCCCATGTCCAGCAATCACTGTGCGAGGGGCGGGGTACACCCTGGACGGGTCGCAAGTCCATCACAGGGCCACATAGAGACAAACGAGACAAACAACCATTCACTCTCTCACTCACACCTAGGAACAATTTAGAGTTACCAATCAGCCTAACATGCATGTTTTTGGTCTGTGGGAGGAAACCGGAGCGCCCGGAGAAAACCCACGCATGCACGGAGAGAACATGCAAACTCCACCCAGAAAGGCCCCCGGACCGGGGTTTTAAACAAAACACATTTAAAATAAAATAAACAAACACGCAAATAATTTTTTTGGTTTGTTCACATTATAATTTAAGGGTGGCACAGATGGTAGAGCTGCCGCCTCTCAATGAGAAGGTCGCCGGCTCGAATCCCAGCCCAGGACATTTCTGGGTGGAGTTTGCACGTTCTCTCCGTGCATGCGTGGGTTTTCTCCGGGTGCTCCGGTTTCCTCCCACAGACCAAAAACACGCATGTTGGGCTGATTGGTAACTCTAAATTGTCCCTAGGTGAGAGAGAGAGAGAGAGAGAGAGAGAGAGTGAATGGTCGTTTGTCTCTGTGATGGACATTGCATTTTCTCTTGCTGCCCACTCAGGAGCAGAATTGTATTTCTGGTATGGAAGCGACTGAAATGGGTGAGAAATGAACTCAAGTATCGATCCCATCGTGCTAGTATTGATCCAGTCCAACACATTGATTCCATAAGTTGCTGTAGATTCTCAGTCATCCAGTTTTTTTTTCTTGCTGCTCCCATCTTCAGGGGTCAGCACATCGACGTAACTTGCACAAAGACTTGAGGATTGTTTTTACACCGGATGCCCTTCCTGAAGCAACCACCGGGCTACCACAGCCCTCTGTGTGGAGCAGAGATGCCATCTAGGAGCCCAGGGGAGCAGATGGTGGGGGTTAAAGGCCTTGCGCAAGGGCCTTGAGTGGGGCAAATGAGGGTGGAGACATACGTGATCCACCGATCCCACTCACATTTTAATGTTGTTGATCTGGAGGCTCAAACTGGCGAATCAAATAATCAAATTTAATAAGACAAAGCTTTGTGGCGTACAGTCGGTTACAGAAACTCCTAATGCTTGCTCTGCCTTGGTTCTGATCTCTGTCCTACTTCCTGAAAAAAAAAAAAACAGTTTGTTTTGTAGAAAACTCATCAGGGGCCTGCCCCTCTCCGCCGTGTTATCAGATTCGTCTGAACCCGAGTCCAGTGAGAAAGTTAAAACTCAAGAAAACAAACCAGGATTCTTACATGGGGGTGATAAGCACATCAAGCCACCTGGCTTCATCATCAAACAGTAACACCAAAGCATTATAATATCATTCACAATGCCCTTAAAGTAATAAATTGCATTTATTATTATTGTATTTGGGCTAGGGCAGCACGGTGGCGCAACTGGTAGAGCTGCTGCCTCTCAGCGAGCAGGTCCCTGGTTCAAACCCCGGTCCAGGGGCCTTTCTGGGTGGAGTTTGCATGTTCTCTCTGTGCATGCGTGGGCTTTCTCCAGGTGCTCCGGTTTCCTCCCACAGACCAAAAACATGCATGTTAGGCTGACTGGTAACTCTAAATTGTCCCTAGGTGTGAGTGAGAGAGTGAATGGTTGTTTGTCTCATTTGTCTCTATGTGGCCCTGTGATGGACTTGCGACTCGTTCAGGGTGTACCCCGCCCCTCGCACAGTGATTGCTGGACATGGGCACCAGCGACCCCCGTGACCCAAAATGGAACAAGCGGGTAAAGAAAATGGATGGATGGATGTATTTGGGCTGCTCTAGTGGAAAGCATTTGTCATATTCTGCATTTCATATTCTTATCTGTTGAAATACCGTGTTCCCCGCCGTACACGTCACTCCGCCGTATAAGTCCCATCAGTCCAAATATGTCTAATAAAGTGGAAAGAAAAGGGGCCTTCTCCTGCTCCGCTCCTGTTTCTTGGAATATCCTGCAAAAAGATCTGAAGCTCTCGACCTTGACCTCTCGAAGTGGCTTTAAAACCCTGTTGAGTTCCTGCAAAAAGCCGGACATGTTCCTGTAATAAATCGTCTTATAATCTAGTAGTTGTTTTGCTACTATTCCTCTCGATTGTCCGTTTGATTGCTGTTTTGTTTTGATTGGTAAAAAAAAAAAAAAGGAGAAACTTAAATTTGTATGCCTATTTTATGACCATCTATTGCTGTCGCTGTTGTCATCACTCTTTGTTGAAATCAGGTCTCTCTTGTAAATGAGTCCCCGAGGCTCAATGGGATTAACCTGTCTAAATAAAGGTTGCATGAATTCTACTCGAGGGCTGAAAATGGTAGTGTTCAATATTTTCAGTCAGAATGAATGACAACGGTCATATTTCAGCCAAAAATTGGTTTATAAGTATGGGAAAAAATTAATAAATTAGTCGCGTTGGTGCAGGGCATGCAAATTAATGCAATAAAACACGTCTTATCAGCAAAAAATACGGTACAGGCTCAATAATTTCACTGCTAGTGCTTTGCGCTGCTATATTCTTTATGTTTGGTGTCCTGTGATGGACTGGAGACTTGTCCAGGGTGTCCCCTGCCTCTCGACAGTGACTGCTGGACACGGGCACCAGTGACCCCCGCGATCCAAAAATGAAGAAGCGGGTAAAGATAAGGGATGGACGGACAAACGGATAGATGGGTATTAAACAGTAACCTTTGTGGGGACCTGGCGGGAACTTCCTAACCAACTTAGAAAAGGTGACAAAATAAATCGTAATTAAAGTAAAAAAAAAAAGTATTTAAATGTTTCTTGATAAATCTTATAAAACATAAACAGTTAGACATTAAATAATTAAAAAATCGTATTTTTTTTATATATATACTTTCTCATTTTAGTTATTTGATTTTTGTGGCACCACTGGACTTCCATACATCCTCTCGCGTTCGTAAAAACCGTAACACCGCTTGTACATGTGCACAACAAACTTATGTACATAAACAGTAACCGAAGAGGTAGGATTTGTTAATTATGATGTCTACTATGAACTTTTAACATGATTTATTATTCCCTACAGTGCACACATTTGCCATTTCAGATCAAAACTCAGCGCAAGTCACTTTGATCTCGCCCCTTCCATAAATGCGTAAAAGTAAAAGGTGTTGCGCGCATCATACACACTTTACTGCACGGCTTTTTAAAATGGCTGCTGTCGCTCCACAAGCTGAGTTTTCCATCAACTTTTGTTTGTCGGTGTGACGAGACTGGTTTCCAGGCTGCTCTGTGAACGGGAAGTCGAGTCATATGATGAGACTGCGGAGAAGCAGGAACACGCCCGTTTCACGCACGAACCGCAGGAGCGTCGGAAAATCTCAGGCTCGACAGAAAAAAACGGAACTCGTTCTTCTAAAAAAAAAAGGAGAGGAAAGTTCTCCCCGGGCGGTGATGCCAAAGACACTTTCTGACATGACAAGCCTCCTCCTTTCATGACAGCCTGCTGGGACATCATGGAGCTCCTGTGGCGCGCGCGGGTCTAACTTCTCAGCTGGAAGCGTCTTTTTGAACATCATGGTCAATAAAGAGGAGCTGGAAGAAAGACTGAAGAAGCTGCTGGTGCGGCTGAAGACCCCCAAAGAGGACAACCAGCTGGACACTCTCATTCAGATCATCCAGGATCTACTTTTCCTGGCGCACACTGACCATGGTAGGAAAGTGTTCCAGCGCGTGCACCATGCTGCTGGTAATCAACAAGCTGTTTATGTTTATTCTAATATCTAAACAAATTGTTTCAGTTTAGCGCCACATGAGTGCAGTTTGCAGCACATTCTCCTCTACATTTATTTCTGTACACATTTGTTTAATGTCTACACAAAAATAAATAAAACGAGAGAAATTTCATTTCCTGCGAAAATGCAATTATTGCAGAACTTGCTGAAAAACAGCTGAAGTCTTGCTGAAACGTAGCAAAAATGGAAGAACAAGCCTACATTAGCAGATGAAAGCAAAAAGGACACATATTTGCTTAATTAAGTTTCAATAAGCAAAAATTTGCCCAAAAATTAAGAAATTTACAAAAAAAAAAAAAAAAAAGCTGAATTTAGCAACAAGCAGCTGAAAAGTAGCTGAAAAGGCAGAAAGAAGCTTAAATTACCAGAAGGAAGCAGAAAGAGATGAAATGAGTTTTAAAAAATGTGGAAATAGTTGAAAAGCTCAAATGAGCATTAAAGTAGCTAAATAGTAGCTGAAGTAGCAGAAAAAAGCTGAAAGGAGCACAACAAGCTGAAATTAGAAGAAAGAAGTTCATTAAGCAGAAATTTGGCAAAAAAAAACAAACACAAAAAAGGAATTTATCTGTAAACAGCTAAAATTAGCTAAAATGGTAAAAGGCTAGCTGAAATGGAAGAACAAGCCTAAATTAGCAGAAGAAAACTAAAAGGACACATATTTGCTGAATTAAGTTTCAAAAAGCAAAAATTTGCACAAAAATTAAGAAATTTACTAAAAAAAAAAAAGCTGAATTTAGCAACAAGCAGCTGAAAAGTGGCTGAAAAGGCAGAAAGAAGCTTAAATTACCAGAAGGAAGCAGAAAGAGATGAAATGAGTTTTAAAAAATGTGGAAATAGTTGAAAAGCTCAAATGAGCATTAAAGTAGCTAAATAGTAGCTGAAGTAGCAGAAAAAAGCTGAAAGGAGCACAACAAGCTGAAATTAGAAGAAAGAAGTTCACTAAGCAGAAATTTGGCAAAAACAACCACAAAAAAGAATTTATCTGTAAACAGCTCAAATTAGCTAAAATGGTAAAAGGCTAGCTGAAATGGAAGAACAAGCCTAAATTAGCAGAAGAAAGCTAAAAGGACACATATTTGCTGAATTAAGTTTCAAAAAGCAAAAATTTGCACAAAAATGGGGAAATTAGCTAAAAAAAAATGCTGAATTTAGCAACAAATGGCTGGAAAGGCAGAAAGAAGCTTAACTACCAGAAGGAAGCAGAAAGAGATGAAACGAGTTTAGAAAATATGCAAATAGCTGAAGAACTTAAATGAGCATAAAAACAGCTCAATAGTAGTTGAACTAGCAGAAAAGGCTGAAAGGAGCACAACAAGCTGAAATTAGCTGAAATAACTTTATTAGGTTTAAAGTAGCAGAAATTACCACAGAATACTTGAATTTATCTGAAAACAGCTACAATTAGCTAAAAATAATAAAAAGGTAGCTGAAAATGTAGAACAAGCTTAAATTAGCAGATGAAATCAGAAAGAACACGTTTGTTCAGCCTTTGGCTGAAAAAAGCAGAAATGAGCACAAACAGTGGATATTATCTGAAAAAGGCTGAAATTAGCACAAAAAAACCAGCTGAAACGTAGCTAAAAAAAGCAGAATGCTTTAATTACCAGAAGGAGGTGGAGAGAGCACGTTTGCTGAATTGGGCTGCAAAAAGTTTAAATCAGTGCAAAAAAAGTGGAATCAGCTGAAAAAGCTCAAACTAGTATAAAAACAGCTAAATGGTAGCTGAAATAGCAGGAAATGATGAAACTCAGAAACAAGCTGAAAGGAGCAGAAATAAGTTAGAATTAGAAGAAGCACAAAAATGTTGTAGTTAGCAGAAAGAAACTGAAAGGAGCACCAAACAGCTGAAATTAGCTGAAAAAAGTTAAAATTTGCACAAGGAAGCTGAAAGAAGCTGAATGAGAACAAACTGTGAAAGGAGCAGTTAAAGGCTCTAAACAGATCTAAAGGTTTGAAGGAAATGAGCTCAGTTCATTGTTTAATGTAATACATGTTATAATCAGGTGAGCAGCTGTTTTTGGTTTAAAAGGTTTTAACACAGTTGGAGGGTCGTTCATGTCGATCTCGTGTTTGGAGGGTCGTTCATGTCGATCTCATGTTGCTGTTAAAAACTCTCTCCAGAGGCGATAAAGTCTGAAGCAGAGTTCAGTCTTTAAAAACAGTCCCAGCCAGTGTAGCTGCCTTTTTAACTTTTAGGATTCCTCTGTGTTCTCGGGGTTGACTGTTCTGCTTTCGCAACGAAGGATTTGTTGAAATGATTTTTAACATGCCTGTTTATGCACGTTAAAACAGAAATAAAATCCAGAACATCTTCATCAGCACGTCCTATCTTGCTCTCTTTTCTGCAGTAGCCGAGCTTTTTGAAGACGAAAACGTTCACCTTCCCCTCATGGTGGTGCTCGCCTCTTACATCAGCAGCGTAGGAGTCCAGCGGGTAATTATGATTTATTAATAAAGTGGTCCTCTGGGGGCTGTTATCAGGGCAGCAGGTTCCAGTTGTTGTGCAGCAGAAAGAAAGGCCAGCCTTTGGACGTGGTTCAAAAGTTAACCATAAACGCATCTTGTGACCGCAGAAGGCTGTCACTCATTAGAGATGAGATTACAGCAAAACTGAAAGAGGCTCTTTACGAGCAAAGATGTGCTGAATAATTCTTTCAGCCAGGAAACTGCTTGTTGATCCTTCTCCTGTTATAATCTCAAATAATCCCGTTTGTCCATTTTTGGGGGTTTTATGTATCGGAACATTAAAAAGGATCTGATCTATACCAGATTATGAAATAATTCTAATCTAACCAGATTTCACCGTGAAATGAAGCTAAAACGGAATAGCTAAGTCCAGCCCTCGATCCTTCAGCTTGTAGAACCTCCTTTAGCTGAAAGAAGTCGCTCGTATGGTTGAAAAAGGAATTTCAGCCCATTCGTCTTTCCAACAAAGTTCAGTCAGGTCCTCTGGATGGTTTCTTTTGTTGCTGAGATATTTCGACCTTCATCCAAAGGACTTCATCAGTCCGAGGAGCCACAACAAACAGTCCCACTAGCAGCACGCTCACCTAATGGGCCAACTGGTTTGGTTTCTCTCCCCCGTCGCCTCCTCTGAGTTAGCCATAGCTAAAGTGGTTCGAAGTGGCCACGGCTGCCTCAGAGGAGTCGACGGGGGAGAGGGTGGGCCCCAGAAACCATCTTATCACCAGCAAACTGGTTGGTCCACTATGTGAGTGTGCTGCTTGTGGGACTGAGTTTGTTGTGGCTCCTCGGACTCATGAAGGATGAAACGTCTCAACAAAAATAAACCGTTCAGAGGACCTGACTGAACTTTGTTGGATTTTTTTTTTTTTTAACCTGGATTATTGAGCGTGAACTTTGACATTCTCCTTCCCATTTAGTTTGAGTTTTGCCGACAGTCGTTTCTGCGCAGCTCGATTAAGGCCCCACCAGGTCTGGACTTTAACAGGACCGTTGCAGAACCTTGATTCTTTCCTTTTTCGGCTGTTCGGTTGCATCATGACCAGTTCGGTCCAAGACAACAAAGTCCATGCTCAATAATCCAGGTATACAATCCAGGTTCGGTTCAAGCTTCAGCGGTCAGACGGCTTCACATTTGATTAGGGTGCTTTGGTCTACGGAGGAGTCCATGTCTGACTCAATGGCAGCAAGGTGCCTCGGTCCTGTGGCCTTCAAACCATCACTCTTCCACCACCGTGCTTGATGGTATGAGGTGTTTGGTCTGTTTGTTGTCACCAAACATGGCAATGTGAATTATAGGTAAATATAAACAACAACATGCGTGGTTGTGTGTTTTTGTTTACTTGAGGTTAGATTAAAGCTGCTTAGAATCTGGTGAAGACCGGATCATTTTAGTCCCGATACATAAAATCCAAGAATTGAAAGCGGGTACCGTATTTTTCAGATTATAAGGCGCATTAAGCGAAACAAAACGGTCAGATAAGTCGAACTTTATTCAACTCGTTCACAATAACTCTCAACATTGTTCAGTTGTACCACATAAAATTGGTAAGCACAACCAGAATTCATACATAAGGCTCACTGTCGATTTTTGAGAAAATTGAAGGATTTTAAGTGTGCGCCTTATAGTGCACAAAATACGGTAACTTTCTTTTTCCAGTGACTGTATCCTCTTAGCAATTTCAAATAAAATGTGAGCTTCTGTTTGAACAGGTAGGCTGGTCTTTGCTGTGTCAGCTCATCGAAATATGCCCCAGAACGCTGGAGGAGCTCTGCAGACCCCTGGATGGCACCGGGGAGTGGGAGGTGCTGGGAGTGCACCAGTAAGTGAAGACAGACACACTGCTTGTGCAAGCGTAGAAATGTTGTTGTTTTTTTTTTTATACGTTTGCTTTTTTCACAAGATTCAGTCGTGGCAATGTGATCAGACAACATAATGTCCATCTTTAAACAACCGTAGAGTGTCTTTGAAGAGCGTGAGAAAAAAGTTGAACAAGTTTATTTCAGCCACGTCTAAATTAAAAGAAAATGATTTGATGATTCTTCTGTTTATAACGTGATACTTTTACACCAGCTCGATCTGTTATCAGTGCTTCCCCTACCATTATACAAACGGGGCGCCCCACCCCGTCAACAGAACCAAGTGCCCCCCGACAACTGTCGGCATTGATGTAGCATGGCGCGCAATACAAACGTGCTAGCAAAAATGCTACTAACTTACACCCCCCCCCCCCCCCCCCCCCCCACTCGATGAAAACCAGCAGCAACGTAACGGTCAGGCAACACAGATGTGACTCCCATCCTCACCCCCCATCCCCCCCAGTCGACAAAAAATAAAACATGGCAACGCCCCACCAAGGGAAGTGATCTAGGGGAAACACTAGTTATAGTTGGGTGTCATTGAAAAAAATGACCCATCCATCCATCCATCCATCCATCCATCCATCCATCCATCCATCCATCCATCCATCCATCCATCCATCCATCCATCCATCATCTTTACCCGTTTCTTCCTTTTTGCATTGCGGGGGTCACTGGCATCCATATCCAGCTATTACCTGTGCGAGAGGTGGGGGACACCCTGGACAGGTCTCCAGTCCATCACAGGGACACATAGAGACAAACGAGACAGCCATTCTCTCTCTCACTCACACCTAGACAATTTAAATCAGACTAACATGCATGTTTTTGGTCTGTGGGAGGAAACCGGAGTACCCAGAGAAAACCCACACATGCACGGAGAGAACATGCAAACTCCACTCAGAAAGGCCGGGATTCGATCCGGCGACATTCTCGCTGAGAGGCGGCATCTGCGCCACCGTGCCGCCCTGAAAAAATGTCCCAATCAGACATTTTTGTCAGAGGTCTCGATGCAGAACTTTGCTCGATTCTGTGCATCGTCAAAATGAGCGCCTGAGTTCAGACAGACAAGTTGATCGACCGATCAAATTCATGAACCGCAACCAAATGTGGGGGATAATGTTTTTGCCCGTGTTTGTGTGTCTGTCTGTTCAAAAACTGGATAAGTTTCATTGAAACCTCCAGAAAATAAGCACTGGGTTGACCTCTACAGTTCATTAACTTCTGGATTCAATCCATTTCAAGATGCCGGCACATCCAACGCAAAAACAGCCGAAACTCAGCCAGTTCTACAGATATTAAGCTAAAATCTGGTCTGGTAACAAACGAGCTTCATCCCCAACACATAAACTGACATAAAAACAAATTGTGTGACAACTTTACTTAAAAGCTTGACAATAACTGTTGGAGTCAACCCTTTTGTCTGTTGGCAAACTGTCCCCTGAACTGAGACGAATCTCAACATTGCTGCCACATCTAATTGAACTTTGACGTTTGACCAAAGCTGCTGCTATTTTATTATTTCTCTACACAAGATGATTATAGTTCGAAATGGTGGGAGGCGATACATTTCATTTGAAGAAGTTTCTTGAAAGCAAACAAAGACGTCACCACCCACATTTGGTTTGTCCCTCTTCTGATTTTGTCCCTATAGGCAGGTCCTGAAGGTGCTGTCTCACTACAGCTCAGACTGTCAGGTGACCATGGTTGGACTCCGAGCGCTGGCTCTGCTGCTCAGATCAGGTGACGAACTCAGGAATGTGTTGCCAGTCACTGTGACTTTACAGGTAAACTCCAGGTGGAGTTCAAATCTCTGCCTTAAAACCACCTGCCAGCCACGTTTCCTCATCATTTTCACATTGTTACATTCAACGTACGTGCAACTTAAAGTAAAACACATCGCAGATGTTTTCTAGTAAAGCAGCTTAAAGGTAAAAACAGGTGGAATTACCTAACCGGTTATGTGGAATGTGGGCTTTGGCTTCTCCAAGCTGACTTTAGTAATGATCTATTTTTAGAGCAACATTTCAGCCTCTTTCTCAGAACAAGCTGTCTGCATTATGAGCATTTCTAACCACAGCTCCACAGTTTATTCGTGATTAAAGCTCTGATTGATGGACTAGGGATGAGAAATTTTAATAAGAGTGCCGTCCTGTTTCATGCTCAGTAATCCACTGAACTTCAGTCCTCCAGTCTGGACCCGTTCAGAGGACCTGACTCGACCATGCCAGATCTTAGAGTGCTGTTTCAGCAGCTGTGCTTTAATTGACACTGAGGAAACTGTTTGCACAGCTCTATCTGCATTTGTTTTGAGATATAAAGTGTGCAATGTGGAAAGTGAAAACCAGTGGAAAGAGACAATCAGATGGTATCCTGATGCATGCTCAATAATCCAGGTAGATAAATCTAACAAGGTAAAGTCAGGTCCTCTGGACGGATTTTTCTTCTTGAAACGTTTCCTCTCTTAAACAAAAGACTTCCTCGTTCTGAGGAGCTGCAACAAACTCACTCTTATAAATAACACCTTCTCATAGAGGATCAACCAGTTTGTTGTTGACATCCAGAACTAGCTGTTCACATGCTAAAGGAGGACCATCAGCCTTATAATTGATTGTTAGTGCCCTGATGGCTGCTTGCTCTTCACAGAGGGCTGAGTGATGCAATAACAGCGTTGTAAGATGTGACAAATGGACACGGAGGCCTCCACCCTTGTTTAATGATGGACTGTTTCTCTTCACAAAGATGGCCTTCGTCACTCCTCTCTCAAACCATCGTTCCTCTCTATCAGTGATGTGAACGTCCAGGTCAATTAGTAATGAGTATAACTAATCTGTCCTTGTTTGTTTCTTGTTGATTGTAAAACTTAAAATAGTTGAGTAGTCTGAGCATCAATTATGGTAATGTTCAAAAAGGAAATAGACCAGTGGTAAATGAAATGCCACCTTTATCTTTTGTTCTGGTTTATTTATGTATGTATTTATTTATTTATTTATTTATTTATTTATTACATTTCTCTTCATAATTGGACAGACACAATTGCTTTGCTGGTGCTGGATGAGGAAGAGGATGTGTTCAGCCTAGTGGTGCATGCGATGAAGACTTTTCTTACCAGTGAAGAGGTCCAGCTCCAGGGTTGTGGAGTTCTGCAGCCACTACTGGACAGAGGTATTCACACTCATAACAGTACACAAACATCAAGTTTCTGTGAGATATACATACATACATACATATATATATACAT